GGCCAGAGATATCAGGAGTTGGGTGACATGCACGTTTAAATAATAATTAATAAGAATAATAATACAGTAGGTGGTCAACAATGCCAAATCCAGTCTAAACATCTGGCTGACATAATAATATTTTAAACCATGAACCAACAGCATCTGCCTATCTCAGTCTGTGCTTCCGCACATCCTAGGTTCTTAGGAAGAACTTGATGTGTGTGAAGGCCAACACCAGCTAAAGCACTACAACTGTGTTTTTACATTGGGAGGAAGAGGGGGAGGAGGAAGAGAAGGAGAAGAAGGAGAGAAAAAAACGGCAGAAAATCAGAAAATGTAAGGATCTGAAAAGAGAATTAGAATGACTGTGGCAAAAGGAAGCAACGATAGTTCCAATTGTAGCAGAGGCCATGGGTGCAATTCAAAAGCATCTGAAGCGCCACTTGAACACTGATGGCATTGACAACATCCCCACCAGTCAATTGCAAAGGACACCTTTACATCCTACAGCGATACTTTTAACACACCATCAAACATCTGCCTATCCCAGGTCTGTAGGAAGGGCTCGATAGGTGAGTAAAAACACCAAATCCTGTCTAAATATCTGGCTATGTGACCAACCATAATAATAATACCAAAATAAAATGGATTCCTGATGACACAGAAAATTGTTTTTCCTGAAACAGGGAAATTTGTTGAACTAGATCACCCATCCCCACCTCTGACACAATCAAAACTTTTACTACTATTGGACTCAGCCTTTGAGTGGGAACCGCACTAACAGCAAGTCTTTGCTGGCTACATCCTTCATTCAGCTGCTGAAACTCTATGCTGACTTGAGATTGTTAATAATTTAAGCTACAATAATGAGATTTCAACAGCCACAAAGCAAAAACACAATCTTCTTAAGGGTGCTTTGCTCCCAGTTTAATTTGAATGCCTCCAGCTAATGGTTTCAGAAATAAGAAATGTGGAATGAAATTAAATTTCTTCTTGGACATAATTTTGTCCTTACTCACAACTTATAATGATTTTCTGTCAATAAATCCCCTCCCTGGTTTTTTTAGCCCTTTAGAGCAGAATATAATCTTGCTTTCCAGCACTAATAACAACTAGTTTTTTTCTGTTCTTTTTGTAAGCAGTTTGCAGAGAAATTGTGCAAGGGAAGATATTTATGTAACTCTCTTACCCATCTTGGTGATAGCTAAAAATACTCCTTCGATCCTTTTTGAAGCACAAATAACCCTTGTAGCCATTTACTTATTTTAGAAAATGCTCCTTAATTGATAGGTGAAATTATTGTACTCCTGGCTTCATTTTGCCCTTGAGCACCAATAGCTAAATTTGAACAGAAAAGCTATTTTTTGATATCCAATTCTGTTGGGAGAAATATTCATTTTCCAACTGCAGCATCACATGTTAGAATGTTATTAAGATACTTTCTATCTTTTGCATACCTTTTTCTCCCAGCTATTTTTTTTCAAGATTTCACTATGAAACCTCATTTGCAAGTCACCTCACCCGATAAAAAACTCTGAGGTGTTTCACCCACAAAGTTGCAGCTATTTTTATTTATTTCCCCGTGATAAATGACCAAGACCAAGCTGGCTGGGGAATTCTGGGAATTGAAGTCCACGTGTCTTAAAGTGGCCAAGAAGAGGAAAGCTTGGCCAAGACTAAAAAAGTATATGAGTCTGTAATTGCAAAAACTTCCTTTGCCCAGTTGATTTCTCTGGAATCTATTCCTGACAACCTTCTCAGACTCTGGAAGTAGAGAAACACACCAGAGACATCTTTAGGTCAGTCTTCCCGCTTGTATCTTTCTTTACTTCTCTCCTGCCAGCTCACTTGTGGTTGAAACTGATTCCGTCCCTACCTTTTTCAGGGTTATGTCCACACCACACGGTTAACCAGGTTAAAAATAGCTTGTTAAAATGGATTTTTAACTCTTTTTTTGTTTTAGATTGCTTTGTCAAACATGCATATATTCTAGCCCTTTCTACGGAGTGAATTTAGGAAATGAGTTAACACAGTAACTGAATGGCGTGTGTTGGGTGAGAGCAACGTCCATGTGTAAAGGGTTTGCATTGTTTGAATATGAAGGATTGCCATCTCCCTTGTGTTTCTCGTTCTTTCTTACAGGAATGTCCCCAAAAGTAAATTATTTACTGTATTATTTCAGTGTGATTCATCTACCAAAATTCTTAGTCAGTGTGGCCACCAATCAAAAGGTTTGAGCAGATCTGTTGTCTCAGAAAGCTTTAGTCACCATGATATAAAAAAGATGTTGAGACTCTGGAAAGGGTGCATAGAAGAGCAACAAAGATGATTTTAGGGGACTGGAGGCTAAAACATATGAAGAATGGTTGCTGAATTAGGTATGTCTAGTAGTTTAATGAAGAGAAGGACGAGGGGTGACATGATAGAAATTTTCTAGTATCTCAGGGTTTGCCACAAAGAAGAGGGAGTCAAGCTATTCTCCAAAGCCCCTGAAGGCAGGACAAGAAACAATGGAAGGAAACTCACCAAGGAGAGAGGCAACCTGGAACTGACAGAGAGAACAATTTACCAGTGGAATGGCTTTCCTCCAGAAGTTGTGGGTGCTCCAACAATGGAGGTTTTTAAGAAGAGATTGGACAGCCATTTGCCTGGAATGTTATTAGGGTTTGGATTTGAAGATACATCCCCCCACCCCCACAGGATCCCTTCCACCTCTGTTATTCTTTTATTCTGAACTGGCTAACTAGGATTGGAACGATCACATCTAGATTGAAGACCATGAAGATCCACTGTAAATTGTATACAAAAGATTTTTTTAAAAAAAATCAGAAGAAGAGAATAGCAAATCCTTTTTGTATTATTGCAAAAGAAAATTGCACAGATATGTCTATGGTCACCTGGAACCCAGCTGACTCAAAGAATACTCTCCTTTTTATGGGCCTTTTTAAGCATCCACACATGAAAGTGTGGTTGCTTTTCTCCATCTAGTGGTGAGGATGGACAGTGAGATTTCTGACTTGGTGCAGGAGTCCCCAAACTTGGCAACTTTAAAAGACTTGTGGACTTCAATTCTCAGAATTTCTCATCTAGCCATGCTGGCTGATGAATTCTGGGAGTTGAAGTCCTCAACTCTTAACGTTGCCAAGTTTGGAGAGCCCTGACTTCATTTATTGGAAGCAACTAAACTCATGTGACTGCCGCATTATTATCCTGTGATACGTATGTTTAGCTCCATGTGTTTCCTTTTGGAGGATATAATGGGAGAAGGACCCATTACCACGAGAAGACCAGCGTGGCGCTTCTCTTTTGGGGAGGGGGGAAATGGGCTGCATCGGGTGCTCCAAAAAGGAGGAGGAGCTAGAATGGAAAAGTGATTGCAGCCAGGACAAAAACAAATATTAAATAAGTTTTGCTGTAATTAGTCCATTCATTTAGCAACCCTTTGAACTTTCAACGGCACTGAAAAAAGTGACTTACAACTGGTCTTCACAACTGTGACTGTTGCAGCATCCCCATGGTCACATGATCAAAATTCAGGCACGCACTTACAGTGGTTGCTGCGTCCCAGGTTGACGGGACGGCCACTTGCAGCCTTCCTGGGCAGCTTCCAAAAAGCAGAGTCGAGGGGAAAGCCGGCTTTGCTTAGCGATTCATTTAGCAACTGCTTCGCTTTGCAGCGGAAATTCTGTTACCAGCTGCAGTTGTAAGGTCTGACTGTACGTCCCGGGTGTTAAATAGTTTTGCCACTGTGTCACATGAGAAATTTGGTAGCAGTGATTGAAGGAGCTCTGCTGCCTCCATCCAAACCTTTTGGGGACCAGGTATCCCATTTCAGTTTGGGTGTCCCGCAGTAGCTAAAGCGGGCCAGGAAAGGGCACCTCGCTCTGCCCCGCCCGTGCTGGCGGAGGGGGTGTGCTGCGGATCCCCTCGGCCGAGGAATTCCGGCTGTCGGGATCCAGGGGAAGAGCCTCCTCTGCCGTGGCTTCTTCCCTCTGTGACGTCTTATCCTCGTCGGTGAGATTGCCTCCGTCCTCCTGGCGTTTCGAAAGAGACTCGGGACCCGGTTCCGACAGATGGCTTGGCGGCCCAGTGGGGGGAGCTCCATACTGGAGGTGGACGGCTGATTGATGTTCAGTGCCATTTCCACCCCCACCCCCACCCCGCCGTGTGTCCAGCTCCCTTCTTTGCTGACTTGTTGCCATGATTGTATCTGCTAATGTTGTTCTCTGTTGTTATTTTTTAGTGGATGATTTTAATGTTTTTCAGTGTTTTATGTTGTAAGCTGCCCAGATCCCAAAGGTGCTTTTTCACGAGGCAACTGGACTTTCTTCAGAGCTGAAAAAGTTTCTTGGATGAGAAGCAAAATATCTTCAAAGAAAAGAAAAGTCCAGTTGCTTTGTGAAAAAGCACCTTTGGAATAACTATGACCTGGATGACTGGGAGTCTCCATACACATTAAGCTGGCCAGAGTAGTTGGAGATGAGATGGGAGGCAGATAGATAGATAGATAGATAGATAGATAGATAGATAGATAGATAGATAGATAGATGGATGGATGGATGGATGGATGGATAGAGGCTTTGCACAACAGAGCCAACCCATAGATGTAAACCTTCTCTTTGCTTGATTGCTGCATTTTAAGTAGCTCCATATTTCTGAAAGGCTAAGGTCTTCTATGTTTGAGCCCTGGTGGCGCAGTGGTTAGAACGCAATAGAAAGGCTACTTCTGCTGACTGATGGCTGCCAGTAGTTTGGCAGTTCCAATCTCACCGGCTCCAGGTGGACTCAGCCTTCCATCCTTCCGAGGTGGGTAAAATGAGGACCCAGATTGTTGGGGACCATAGGCTGACTCTGTAAACCGCTTAGAGAGGGCTGTAAAGCACCGTGAAGCGGTATATAAGTCTAAGCGGTGTTGCTATTGCTGCTACTGATCTATGGTGGTCATTCGAGTTGTTTAGGTGAGCAAGTTCTCGGACTGGCAATATCCCAAAGACTACCTCTTCGTCTTGTCTGTTTAGGAAGCCATGAGTTGGAGCAGATGCAGCTCATTTTAGAAACAATTCCTGTTTTCCACGAAGAGGACAAGGAAGAACTTCTCAAAGTGATGCCAACTTTCATCAATAGCACCTGGGAGGTGAAAAGGCCATTACGGAAGCTTCTGCCTGAAGTCAACAGCAAAGGTAAAGTGGCCTTGGGATTTGGTGGGCGTCACTGGATGGGGAGATTAAATATGCTTATCCTTTCTGGGTTCCACAAACGTCGCTTTCAGAGAGACTCCATAATTCTACCTTCATTTCCCCAATCAGCCACAGCTTTTTTGAGACATATTCGGTGAACTGAAACCGATGTTGTAGACTTGATCGTACAGTAACTCGGATAGAAAGATCAAAGAAAGATAGAAAGATCATTGAAAAAATTGATGTAAAAGAGGACATATATATAGTACAGAAAGCTATTACAGGTGGTCCTCGACTTATGACCATAAATGAGCCCAAAACTTATGTGGCTAAGGAGGCCGTTGTTAAGTGAATTTTGCCCCATTTTATGGCTTTTTTGCCACAGTTGTTAAGTGAATCTGGCTTCTCCGCTGACTTTGATTGTCAGAAGGTGGCAATTGGTGATCACCTGACCCCCTTGGACATTGCAACTGGTATGAATGTATGGCCCACCTTTTAATGGGAAACCCTAAGGGTGTGTGTGTATCCACACAAACACACACACGTTCCTTCTCCAAGTTGAGCTCAATTTCTGGTAATCTCATGGAGACATCCATGAAGTTATTAAACGGGCTTAAACATTTGTTTCTGAGTTTTTTTTAATTGGTTCAAAGGTTATTTTATAAACCACCTTGAGAAGATCATAACCTCAAACATCAGTGTGAAATGAATGTCGACAATCAGTCATTCTAAATATATGCCAACTTTTTCATTTTGCAAAAAATGAAAGCCAATATTCTTTAAAAAGCTTTTTTAAAAAAAGCAAACAAACCCTGGAATATATATATATATATTGCCTGCGATCTTAAGAAATTGTAATAATCAGAAATCAAAGGCCTGTTCTTGATATTTGATCAGTTCTTCAACAATAACAAATAGTTCCGCAGTAAATATCTGAAATTTGCTACTCTACACCCCCCCAGCCCCCCCACTCCGTCTGCTTTTCCAAGTTAATGTTTTAAAAATATTTAAGTAACTTAACTGTGTTTTGCTGGTGCAAAATAAAAGCCAATAAATAGAAGCCTAAGGATTTCTGAGAGTGTCTTGAGACCATGAAGCTCCAGTTTCAGAGCCATTTACCCCCCCAGTTGCACTTACCCTCCCAAAGACACTTATGGGAGGGAAAGCTTCACTGAACACAATAAAACTTACTTTTGGGGAAAGCCAGTTTAGGACTGGGCTCGCTGTCGTAGTGTCCAAACGCTCATTTCCTTAGCTTCAGTGGTAACTCTTAATTTGAAAAAAACACAGGATTTTCCAGCTGTCCAAAAGTCAGATTTCCTATTTAACGTAATTAGAGATCTGCTTCTGAATGAAGAACAAGGACACTCCATAGTTAATGGATTTAGAGAGTTAAGGAAAAGGATCTTGAGGGAGATGGATCTGATCCCCCTGCCAAGGCAAGAAGGAGTCATGCATTTGTTGACGTTGAGGGCATCCAGATAACATTTGGGAACGGCACAGGCAGACCCAGGGGGAGGGCCTCATTCAGACATGCAGGTTTCTCTTGTTATAGCCAAGCTATAATAAGAAAAGTAAATTTAGCCTTCCAGGGGTGTTGATTCCCTGGTCTGGTCTACCTGACAGGACTGGCGATCTGTTCTCCCATTGCAGGAGGGATTCTGTGTATTGTGCAGATAAAGTACAACTAGTCCTCGACTTATGACCATAATTGAATCCAAAGTTTCTATTGCTAAGCAAGACAGTTGTTAAGTGAATTTTATCCCATTTTATGACCTTCCTTGCCACAGTTATTAGGTGAATCGCTGCAATTGTTAAGTTATGACATGATTTGTTAGGTGAACTGGCTTCCTCACTGACTTTGCAAATGGTGACCACATGACCCGGGGACACTGCGACCGTCATAAGTACATGCCAGTTGCCAAGGGCCTGAATTTTGATCACGTGACCATAAGGGTGCTGCAATGGTTGTAAGTGTGAAAACTAGTCCTAAGTCACCTTTTTCAGTCCCATTGTAACTTTGAACAGTCACCAAACAAATGGTTGTAAGTTGAGGACTACCGGTGTTTCACAAGGCTGGGCCAGGGGTGGGTGCTCTTGGCTTGATTATATATCTGCCTCTTGCAGCTATTGACTTTTTGGAAAAGATACTGACCTTCAACCCCATGGACCGGTTGACAGCAGAGATGGGCCTTCAGCATCCTTTCATGAGACCGTACTATTGTCCTGAGGATGAGCCTGTTTCCCAGCACCCTTTCCGGATTGAGGATGAGATTGATGACATTTTGTTGATGGAAGCTAATCACAGCCAGATGTCCAACTGGGACAGGTACATTTATTCCCTAGTGCAGTGATGGAGAACCTTTTAGAGACCGAATGCCCAAACTGCAACCCAAAACCCACTTATGCATCGTCGGGTACTGGATGGGTGTGGCCCATTGGGTGGGTGTGGCCCATTGGGTGGGCGTGGCTGCAGTGGTAACAGCAGACTGGATGGGACTAAAAAGTTCAATCAATCAATTTCAACTTTGCAAGATCTTTTTTTTTCCCGCAAGAAGTTGAAATTGACCAATTGATTGAACCCCCTTTTTTTTGTACACGGCGGCAGAGGCCTAAAGCGAAAAGGTTTTATAAAACCCAGTTGAAGGCCTAGGACTGGGGTGAGGGCGCACGTGCCCACAGAGAGGGCTCTGAGTGCCACCTCTGGCACCCGTGCCATGGGTTCGCCACCACTGCCCTAGTGTGAATTGTGCAGGAACACAGAATGTCTGGGAACAGAATTCTATGCATTAGAAAACTTAGTTTGCTTTCTTCTTTACTTCTAAAATTTTAGAGTAGAATAGAGTAGAGTAGGATAGGGTCGGGTAGGGTAGAGCAGAGCAGAGCAGAACAGAACAGAGCAGAGCAGGAATAGAATAGAATCTCAGGGTTGAAATGAGGGGTCCTTGGTATTCTCTGAACTTGGTTTTCTCGTAGACGTTTCACTGCCCAAGCTAGGTAATATCATGGCAGAAAAGAACCAAGCTCAGAGGCCACCAAGGGCCCCTCATTTGGTTTTGTGCTTTTCACGCGGAATTGTATATCTTACTGATTTTAGTACAGAATGCAAATAATCCTTGAAAATCCAAATTAAATAAGATGAGTCATTCCTTGGTACTATTCCAAGTTTCTGTCATTGTCTAGGGTGGGAACATCAGCCAAAGGGGTGCAAAGCTTTAAAATCTTTCAGGAAAAAGGTAAAATGAAAGAAGAAGCCCTCCAGCTGGTGATGGGAATATTTTACCAATTTATATGTAATATTTAATTTGTGTCTAATCCTGTAGTTATTTCAAATATACAGATATCAAGTAAGTTTGTCCTCGGATTTGGAATGGCGACAAGAAAAATGCCATGATTTGGATGAGGTGCAACGGGATCCCCGCGCAGGATCTGAATCTATTGCTGAGGAAGCTCAAGTGGATCCACGCAAATATTCGCAGAGCAGCTCAGAGAGGTTTTTGGAGCAATCACATTCTTCAATGGACCGAACATTTGAAGGAGACTCTGGGCACTCGTGTGATTATAAGGTCGGCTCACCTTCTTACTTAGACAAATTGTTGTGGCGAGACAACAAGATTCACCATTACTCTGAACCCAAACTCATCCTAGACTTGTCCCACTGGAAAAGAGCATCTATTGCTCCCGCAGCGGAGATAACCCTAGAGGAGGAACCATCCAACCTTTTTCTAGAGATCGCACAGTGGGTCACAAGCACCCAGACCGGGCTGGAGTGTCCCAATGCTCTTCCGGAGATTCAGGAAGGGACTTTGCCGTCTCCCCCTCCGCGTCTCCACCAAGAACCCAAGGAAGTCGACGAGAAAACTGACCCCCAGTTTGACTTGGATGTCTTCATTTCCAGGGCCTTAAAACTTTGCACAAAGCCGGAGGATCTGCCCGATAACAAACTCAAAGACATCAACGGAACATGTCTAGCGGAACACCCAAAGGAAATTGTTCAGACAGAAGGGTATCATAAAGAGAGGTGGTAAATAAAGGGATGGAAGTTGGCTTATAGTATCCATGGTTCTTCTCTTCTAAAATTCAGTTTTAACACAGTGCCCACGTAGCAATGAATTGTAATCCAGCTTTGAATGCCCATGGAACTCATCAATTCCTTATCTGATAACTGTCGGAATGCCTTCAATTTAAAGGCAAGCACAATCCAAGACCTTGTTTTTCTATGTCTTGCAAGCTAACCTAAAAAGTAATCTGGAGATGTGAATGAAATACTGAGATTTTTTAATACTGCCTTAACAGTCTTGCCTTTGCCTGTGGACATCAGCTTTCAGTGCAGAAAAATCCTTCAATCCAAAGGAAGTTAATTCTATGTGTATTTTTTTTCCTGTTATGAGGATCATGCGGTATTAGAGACCTTCCTATGGAAAACCAGCTCCATTCGCACGAGCAGCAGGTCCTTGCGCGGAAAGGTCCACTTGTGTGAGGGGTTGGTGTGCAAGACCTGCCGCTTGTGTAAATGGACCTGCATGCACGAGCACACACTCCCATTGCTTGCACAGAATCATCCCCTTCCCCCCCCCCGCCTTTGGCCAGTCCACAAAGCCGGATAGGTTAGAGATCTCCTGGACCAAGAAGTACATGCAGGGGGTTATCTGCTACCTTCATTCAATAGAAATGTCAGTCTCCCCATAATTAACCTTGTAGGTGCCCTGTCTTAATTAGGGTAGGTGAGTTAGACCAGTAAGTACTCTTTTAACCATTTAAATTATAAAGGGAAGGCAGCAAGCTGCAAAGCAGAATACCAGCTTTTAGCATTATCCATGGTTACCAAGCCTCCTTAGGAAATAAAGATGATGTGTGACTATGACCCAAAGCTTTATTTAGGTGCATATTCAGAAAAAAAAAAGTCAGATCACCTGATAAAATACATCCTGGAAATCTGAACAAGGCAATGCTGCCAGCCTGTTGGACGGTCTGGATTTTTTTTAAAATTGCTGCTCTATCCATCCTCCAACCTCTGGTGGGCTCCCCTTGGTCTATTTTTTTAGGTTTGATTTGCTTCAGTCTCCTCGCTTGATGGGGTGCACACTGTACCTGAGGGTCAAAAACGTGGACCACTAAATGGCCTGTAAAGAGTCACTGTTTTCATCGTCTCTTTGCTGATCATTGGCCACCAGAGGTTTTGCAGCGCGAACGTTGGAGTCCTCATTCAGTGACCCATGGATGGAACTTTGCAATAAGAGCAGGCTCTAGATCAGAGGTGGGGAACGATGGCCCTTTTATGACTTGTGGACTTCAATTCCCAGAATGCACAGCCATGCTGGCTCAGGAATCCTGGGAGTTGAAGTCCACAAGCCATAAAAGGGCCATGGTTCCCCACCTCGGCTCTGGACTGAAAATCAGGCTTGTCAGATGCTGTATTTTTCCTATCCTGCTCTATGGAGTAGAGAGTGGGGCTCTGACAGAAGCCCACCGGAAGAGACTAGAAGCATCTGAAATGGGGATTTACAGGCAGCTGGTATGTATAAGCTGGGTTGACAAAATCAGAAATGAGGTGATCAGCCGCCTGGGAAAGCCCAGGGAAATCATCAAAACAATTAAAAAATGAAAATTAGAATATTTTGGACATGTGACGCGACACCCAGAAAATACGGCATACTCCATTTAATCCTCCAGGGAAGGATTGAAGGCAAACGAGGTCCAGGCAGAAGAAGAACATTGTGGCTTCAAAATCTAAGGGACTGGTTTGGAGAAAACTCAGCAGCACTTTTTCGTGCGGCGGCTGATAAAAACAGGATCGCCAACAGGATCGCCAACGTCCGATAACGGATATGGCACAAGAAGAAGAAGCAGCAGCTCTGGACTGAGTTGGGCCCCAGCCGAGAAGCCTGCATGGTGGCAGCGAGGCAGAACAGTCTGGCCAAGAAGAGAGTCAGGAAGACAAACCGATACGTAGCTGTGCTCTGAGCAGCTTTGCAAAGGGGTCTTCTTTCTTTTCATGACACTACAAATAGTCCTCAACTTACGACCGCTCACTTAGCCACTGTTTGAAGTTACAGTGGACTTCGAAAAAGGGGCTTACGGCCCAGATGCATTGATGCCCAACGTCCCCTAGGGTCATGGGACTGCATTTTGGATGCTTGTCAACTGGTCCGCACTTATGGCTGTTTGCAGCATCCCGCAGGCAAATGACCTCAATTTATAACGTTTTTTGCCAGAAACTGGAGTTCGCTTCCAGTTTCCAGCAAAAAAAAAAAAAAAAAGCCCTTAAGGCTAAGCAAACAATGGGTTCATTTAACGACTGAGGTATTCTCTTTATGAATGCTGCATTCATTCAACAGCCGCCATTAAAAAAAAGTTGAAAAATCGGGCATGATTATATAGTGACTTACTTTATGATTGTCATGACTTACCACCGAAATTGCAGGCTCCATTGTGGTCATAAGTCGAGGACTACCTAAAAATGCAAATTTAAAAGGTTTAGTACCAGAACAGCTAATGCTGCCATGACCTGCTAGTGAAAAAGCCCCCAAATCCCCCCCCGCATGTGTGCATGTATGAGTGAATGAAAGGGGGAGAAAACCAGAGGATGTCTCTGCTTGTACAGGAGAGAGAATGTGGGGATGCATGGGGGGGGGGGAGAGAGAGAGAAGTTAGCAGGTTTGATGAGTGCCCACCCATCTTTTCATTGATTTAGCCTTTTTTTTAGTTGGAGGTATACTTTGTAAAAAAAAAAAAAACAACAACCAAAAAACCCCACCTATAAGCAATAGCCTGAGCACTTAGACTTATATACCGCTTCACGGTGCTTTGCAGCCCTCTCTAAGTGGTTTACCCTTTCTTGGGTCCTATCCTCCTTTCGTAGCATATTTTCTTGGCCATTCTTACGTTAGAAGAGGATGGAGAGCAACTTCACCAATCATTTTCTGATGTTTTTGTGTCCTGTGGCGTCTTCTCCAAATTCCAGAGGCCGCCACCATCTGTAGAAGGCTGCTGTGTCCCATTTGTGTGAAAACCTTAGTTTAAAATACCGTCTGGCAACTTGATAAAGTAGTGCACAAAGCAAGTTGATCATTGTTATCCTGGCTAAAAGTCCATCAAAATATGTTGAAGGTTTCAAGGAGACAGATAGCAAAAGGTGAATTCCAAATTTTAAATGTATATATGCAGTTATTACAACATGCTGGATTTGTCTGGAAATTGGTTCTGATACAGCCAGGAAGTGTTTGGCAGAGTGAGACTGAGGCTAAGAATCTGAACGTTAGAGATGCTCTTCTAGTCCAGTGTTTCTCAACCTTGGCGACTCTAAGATGGGTGGACTTCAATTACTTGCTGGCTGGGGAATTCTGGGAATTGAAGTCCATCATCTTAAAGTCGCCAAGGTTGAGAAACACTGGACTAGTCGGAAAATCAATGTTCTGAAGTAGAAATATGTTTTGCACTGAGGCTGGTGGCTGTCTACCTGGTATACATTTTAAGAAGTGCATTCATAACGGTTTCCCAGAATTATTCCAAATCAAACTTTTATTCTTTTGCCATAGCTGTTTTGCACTGAGGTGTTACTACAAGGTAAAAGAACCAATTAAAATTTCAAAGAAACTCACATAATTAAATAAGCATACAATGAATCTGTTTCATTCACATTTTTGTACATCTTATTAATTGATTGAGTTTAATGCATATATTGAAAAAGTTGTTTACTTCTACTTAACTGATTTTTTTTAGAAAATATTGAAAATCTGTAAATAATATGCACTTTGCTTTAAAAAACTTACTTGCATCTTTTTGAAAATGGATTTAATGTCTTCGGTTCAAATGAAAAAAATGTAGTTTGCTGATTATTTAGCTTTTAAAAGACACAGAAGTTACTTCTGCTAGATCCATAGGAGGAAATATCTTTTAGCAGAAATATTCAAAATATGGTATGATTTCATACATCACTGGAGCAGTAACAGAAAGGAATAATATATTTTGCTTGTACTGTGACTTTTTTTATACTATGGAACTGACATGGCTATCCAAAACTTTCTTTTAATAGGAAAGGAGAAAAATTCATTTTTTTTGTTATGAGAAAGGAGGACTGTGTATAAATGAAGGAAAACTAAAAAGAAAGAATGGTACAATGTTTTATATTAATAACCAATGTTTCTAGCATCGGCCATTTTCTAATATAGTTGCAATTTTAGCTTTGTGGCCTGGGTTGTAACAGCATGTGGCATTTATTGGATCAGAATGAAAACATCATTCTTTGCATGTCCATGGAGACTCTCAGTCAACCAGGTCGTGGTTGTCCCAAAGGCTGTTTTTCAAAAGGCAACTGGATTTTTGTTTTGGTTTTCCTTGGAGAAGTTACTCTTCTCATCCTAGAAGCTTCTTCAGTTCTGACTGAATGGTGGAGGATGGAAGGACTCAGCAGTCTATCTGCATAAGAGCCATGGTGATGCAGTGGTTAGAATGTAGTCTTGCAGGTTAAGTCACTGCCCGCTGCCAGGAGTTCGATCTTGACTGACTCAAGTGTTGACTCAGCCTTCCATCCTTCCGGAGTCAGATTGTTGGGGGCAATAGGTTGACTCTGTAAAGCACTTGGAGAGGGGCTGTAAAGCACTGTGAAGTGGTATATAAGTCTAGGTGCTATTGCTATTTGAAAGACAAAGGCCACACTTTTGAAGACAGCAAAGTCCTCATTCTGGACAGAGGGGACTGCTCCTTTGAAAGAGGGGTCAGAGAGGCTATCTATACTATACCAAGGCCCTCGCTCAACTGAGGAGGAGGGATACAACACCACGTATCTCCTGTTTAGACCACAGCCCTTTCGGCAGTTCCAAGAAGGCTCCACACCCATTTGCACTATTCAGCTGACCCTGAGGGCACGGATAAGCCTCCCAGTGGCCTCAGTGACTTTCAGAAAGAGTGCTAATGATCAGCTGGCTGCAAGGAGTGTAAATCCTTCCATCCTCCACCATTCAGTCAGAGCTGAAGAAGCTTCTTGGATGAGAAGCAAAATATCTTCAAGCAAAAACAAAGAAAGTCCAGTTGCCTTTTGAAAAAACACCTTTGGGACAATCATTCTTTGAAGCTGAACTGCATGTTCAGAAAAAAAAAACACATAATGCAATTACTGAAAAAAGAAACAGATATACAGATGTCAGCACTTGCCTTTGTTCTGCATTGCTAGCTTTAAGTAGAGATAGTCCAGAGGAACTGTTGAGGAAAATATGTACAATGTTTTCAGGTATTTAGATATGGTATAAAAAGAGCAAAATGAAAACAAAATCTGAAACAAATGTTCCGAAGTATTAATATACCGCAATATCGCAAAAAATTGTAAACAAAAAAACCCGCCTTGAGCCTAATTCAGAGTTTGATAAAATGGATGCAGTATCCATCAGTTTATAAATTCCTTTGCTTTGACAATTTGTATGTCTAACTGTGAATAATTTATTAACCAAATTTATGCATATATTGCTATGGAGGGCCTCAAATCTGGATGAGGCTCTTCGTCATCTTGCAAGCTCCTTGAGGCTCCCTTACATCGGGCAGCCTTTAAAGAGGTTATCGCTGTGAGATCTAACTTGGCTTATATTGTAGTAATTCGAACCCATGTAGAAAGTGCTAAACTGTAGACTGGCTGGCAAGTCTGAAGCTTCCTGCAAGCTTCCAGAATTGAACCGAATCTATTTGAGCTAACATTAATCATTGTAATTACTATACCACACTACGGGTACTCCTCGACTTACAACAGTTCATTTAGTGACCATTCAAAGTTACAACAGCACTGAGAAAAATGACTTATGACCGTTTTTCATACTTCTTTTGCAGCATCCCCCATGGGATTCAGCCATTTGGCAGTTGATTCATATTTATGACGGTTACAGTGTCCCCCGGGGTCATGTGATCACCTTTTACAACTTAACAACTGTGGTGATTCACTTAACAACTGCAACAAGAAAGGTCCTAAAATGGGGCAAAATTCACTTAACAATTGTCTTACTTAGCAACAGAAATTTTGGGCTCAATTGTGGTCATAAGTCGCGGACTACCTGTTCCCTGTTCCTTTAAAAAAATGAAATAAAAACAAAATTCATCCTCTTTTGTAGAAAGGTGTTCTCAGTTTGCTTTGTTCTGATGAATAGCCTGATATGCTATTGGTCTAATCTGAAGATGGGTGAAGACCTCCCCCCCACCCCACACACTCCCGTTTGCCTTCAAAGAGGTCTGACTGCTCTGTGCATCTCTTCCCTGGCTTATGAGAGAAAAAGCATCTCCAAAGACAAAATTTGTCCAGGATTTTTTCCTAAGATCAATTCAGATGATACTCGCATTTGTGGTAAGCACTTCAACCCCCTGGATGTGTTATGTCCCTCTCTATTACATTCTGTAATCATACCTGAATCCTGGAAAAAGAAAACAATAAATCAGATATAAAGCTAGCATAAGGTTGTGGGCATTAAAATAAATAAGTGAAACTTCTTTGTACAAATCAATATATCAAATCAAGCTCTGGGAAGTAGATTAAATGCTCTGAAAGCTTTAAATTTTCACTTTAACTCTTCTTCATAGAACATAAAATACAATATTCTTGAGACAAGAAATCAGTTATATGTCAGCACTTCGCAGAAGTTTCTGCCTGCTTACAGTATAACTCGTATTGCGTAATCTGTGACGCACTGAGTAGACTTTTCAGAGCTATTTCCTTACCTGAGCATGGAATGACCAGAGGCAGGCAAAAAAGCAATGGAAGCTATGAGCAACTTCCGACTTCCTGCTGGCTTCCCCATTGATTTTCCTTGCAGGACGCCGGCAGGGAACATTAGATATGATGAGAAAGCACTGAAGCAGCCAAATTTCATTCTGATGAGAATCATGAGTTCAGATTTTGGATGCATTCTGTAAGTTAGGCCATTTGAGGTATGTTGACTCAAAATGGTTGCTCTACAATGCGCTATTTTGTCCAATTGAAGGTTACGAACAATCAGAGTTTTAGTAGTGTATAGATTGCAACACATTACATTTTGCAATGGTTAAAGATAATGCATTGTATACAGTCATCTAACCTGGATGGGTTCATGAGCTCAATTTCCAGTAGAAGGTTTGAATTCTGTACACGTAAGATCTGCTATGTATGTGCAATGAGTCCCATACAGAACAAAACTGATTCTGAAATGGTTTTTGCTAGTCATTTTATAACATAGTTCATATTAAAACATATCGCATTATTGATTTATTTAGATTTATTTACTCTGGATAGCACACAAAACTAAAATGATATTAAAACAGGTAAAAATATTAAATCAACAGGGAGCGAGACTAAATTGTTCTAATCACAAAATCTACAAACCTAAACTGTTTTATTTATCAGTATTATTTATCAGTATTATAATTAGCTCCTAAAGCTAATGCATTGTATGTAGTAAGTTTGATGCACAGGTTTATGAGCTTAATTTCCACTAGAACAGTGGTGGCAAACCTTTTAGAGACTGAGTGCCCAAACTGCAACCCAAAACCCACTGATGTATCGCCGGGTGCCGGGTGGCTGTGGCCTGCCGGCTGGGTGTGGCCTACTTGGTGGGTGTGGCTACGGTGGTCATGGATCCAGATGCTTGGAAAATGCCTCTGCCGCCCTAATCGGCCGTGGGGGAGGGGATTGCTCTGCAGCCATAGATTCGGGCGGCAGAGGCCTTTTCCAGAACTCTGAAGCCTGGATTGGCCGCTGGGGCACTGAAAAATCACTCTGGAGGCATATCTGGACTCGCGCTGGCAGCTCCACTGTCCAGCCTGGATCCGCCCAGCTATTGCAGCTGCTCCCTGACTCCCAGTGCAGAGAGAAAGAGAGCGAGAGCGCAGGCGCACATGGAGAGGTGAAGGGGAGCAGCTTGGCCCCACCTCCCTCTGGGGCGATGGTGCGCGTGCCCACAGGGACGGCTCTGCGTGCCATGTGTGGCATGTGTGCCATAGGTTCGCCACCATGGCACTAGAACATTTAAAATTCTTAGTATGATCTGACTATGTACAACAATTCTCTATAGCGGCTGCCCCCAACCTTTTGGGCACCAGGGACCAGTTCCGTGGAGAGAGGTTTTTAGGCAGACCAGTGGGGGCCTGGTTTCGTGTGCTGCCTGCATCTCGCAGAGGGGGCTTCGCTTGTTTGCACGGTTTCTGGCATGCCACAGCCCGGCACCAGTAGACAGACCAGAGGTTGAGGACCCCTGCTCTATAGAACAAAACTTGTTGTGTATTGCCTCCTGCTGGTCCAGGTGCAACATAATTCATATAGCAAGATACCTCACTGGGGAAAGGGGAAGAAACCTTGAAAGGTCACTACTTTCTGATTTTACCTTGTTCAAATAGATTGCATAGACAGGTATTTCTTTGGCTGGACCAAGTTGATCTTTATCACGTGCAGCACGTACCCAACGCAGCTGTGCTGATGAAGTGAATACTCAACATACGACCACAACTGAGCCCAAAATGTGTGTTGCTAAGGAAGGTGATTGTTAAGTGAGTTTTGCCCCACTTTATGACCTTTTCTGTCACAGTTGTTAAGTGAATAACGAGTTGTTCAGTTAGTTAAAGTAAATCTGGCTTCCTCATTGACTTTGCTCGTCAGAGGGTCACAAAAAGGGATCAGATGACCCTGGGACAATGTGACTGTCATAAATGAGTCCGTTGCCAAGTGTCTGAATTTTGATCACATGACCTTGGGGATGTTACAGTGGTCATAAGTGAGAAAAGTGGTCATAAGTCATTTTTTTCAGTGCCGTTGTAACTTTGAATGGTCACTAAACCAGTGGTGTATAAGTCAAGGACTCCCTGTATTTCATGCTATGATAATTGATATGGCTTAGCTCACCTTCCCAACCTGGCATCTTCCATTTGGATTGGCCAGGCAGACTAGGCCGTGTGAATTGAAATCCAGCACATCTGGAGAATGCTTTGGGGGCTCTAAACTATTTGCACGCTCATCTTTCATTTTGCTGTGATAACCAACACAAGCAGGAGGAGATAAGACTTGACTATCCCATCTCAGACAAGCTTGGAGTTCTACATTTAACCATTTACCGTCTCCTGGCCTCTAGCCTGGTGCCTTAAATCACTAGCTCAAACTAGCTCTTAGTTTTAATTACTCAAAGACCCTTTCAACTTCATCCTTCCAACATGTGCCAGGTCACATATTTATGTGGCCCTCTGGACCACAGCTCTTTTCCTTGTTTTTCTAGCAGCCAGCAGTTTGCAAGATGGAGAACCACTCGTGCTCAAAAAGGGTTCTGTGTCAGAAGATGGCAAACAGAAGATGGCTTTTAATCTAGCTAAAGGTAGATTAAAAAGGACCCCATTGAATACAAGTATAATCCGTGAAACTTGTTTTTAATGTTCCATCTGAGTCTCGCCCGAGGACCCCATTCGTCAGCTTCGTGCTCGAAAAAAAAAGGCAAAAAAACCTTTGCCAGACACAGATCAAGTATAAAGTGATTGCACTGATGCAGCAATACCCCGGCCGAAAACGCCAATTGTAGCAGGAACTCTTGAGCGACGCATTGCAATGGGTCGCTTAAGAGTTCATACTTTATGTCATAAAGCGAGATCTAGGGCGCAAAGTACAAGCGGAGGCGTCAGCGAGGCCGGCGGCAGACAGGCACGTGCCGAGTTGCTTTCGCCTCCAGAGCCCCGTTCAACGTCGCTCTCGCGCCTTCACACCTCCCCGCGCACGGCATTTCTCTGTCGCCCAATCAGACGCCTCCTTTCGGTCCGCTTCCCTGGTGGTCCTATCCCGAAGTAACAGCCCGGGGATTGGCTATTTCGACGACCGTGATTAGCGTATTCAAATACGTCGCCTTCTCAGATCTCCGTGATTGAGCGGAGAGACGAAGCGGCGGGATTGGAGTAAAGCGACGATTCGCTTAAGCCGCCCGTTGGCTAGCTTCCTCGTCATTCAGCTAGGAGAGACCCACCTCTTGAGGTGTCCCTCCCTGCCCCGGCCTCTGGCTGTTCATTCGGCGCTGGGGCGTGGAGGGCGGAGGAGGAGAAGGTTGGGGGCAGCCTCGCAGAAGCCCATCGCTGGAACAAAGAGCTGGAGGTAGAGGAGCTCACTCGCTGCGCGGTAGTTATTTGTGCGGTTAGAATCACCATGCTTGCCTCGCTCTCCGAAATGTTACCGGCGGGTCTTTTCGTCCTGATTTAACTTCCTTTCAGAAGTTCTTTTTTCCCCGGAGGCCCGTCGTTTACCGTCTAGCCTCAGTTTGGGGAAAGGGTGCGAGTGAAAAGGCCCGCCTGACTTTCAGGCTGCCGGTTCCCGCTTGAGGGCGGGCCCCTACATCGGGCCCAGGCTGGAATTAGTGGAGGCTTCTCTTGGTGACGTCCAGGGGGACTTAAAATGGCATTTTGGCATCGGTGGCAACGTGGTTTCTCTTTCTGAATCCTGGCCCAGTGATGTAGGAAGCAGGCTGGCTCTCCAAGACAGCTTCCCCCTGTGTGTGGGACTACAGCTCCCATCACTTCCGCCAGCCTGCCTGCCTTTGGTGGGGGTGACTCTAGTGATGGGAGGTGTGGTCCTGCCCAGCTAGCAGATGTAACCATCAGTGCTCAGAAATGCTTGTGGCCGCCAGGATTTTGATTTTCTTGTGGCTGGTCTCAAAAAGCTATGCTTATTTGATTGTTTTATCCCGCCTTTATTACTTTATGAGTAACTCAAGGTGGCGAACTTATCTAACACTCTTTCCTCCTCTTAGGTGGGTGGGGCGAAGAGAGGGCGACTGGCCCAGAGTCACCCAACTGACTTCCATGCCTAAGGTGGAACTAGAATTCCCCCTCTCCTGATTTCTGGCACAGGGCCTTAACCAGCAAGCCAAAGTGGCTTGCTGGGCCTGTTTAGATCCTGGAGAGGAGACCACCAGGAAATCCAGACTAGAAAGCCACTGGTGTATTGTTGCCAAGAAAAATTGAAATGCCAAATTCAGATCAAATAAGATTTTATAAAGAATAATTGATGCTAGTTTATAAAACAGTTAATGCTAGGCTTAGATTAGACCCCAACTCATTTTCCGCTGGGGAAAACCTGTTCAGTGTGGCATTTTGCACTCTCCTTTTAAAATCAAGGAACGATTCCACAATTCGGATAAATTGCCTTCTTGCAGGCCACTGATAATTTAGTACACTTTCTTAGCTTGGCAAGTCCTATTAAATATTTGTTTAGGAAAAAAGGACAGTGGTGTTTGGTTCAGATAAGTGAATTTGAGAAAGCCTTGCTGCCTATAAATAAGCAGGTTTTATTTGAGTTTTATTTAGTTCGGGAAATAACCTGGACTGCCATGTAAAGTTGATGGCAATTGCTCTTGAAACAAAAACGTGGTTGCTAGGAAGGATTTGCTTGTTCTCGCTGGATGGCAGAGGCTGTTTGGCAGTTTCGTGGTCCAGCTTTTGTCCTGAAATGAACCTTTATTTCCGTTTTAAGTGCCAGGAAATGCAGATTTCAAATTCTTGAACGCTTTCTGTGATTATGCTGTGCTAGACACTGTGATAGATTTTCTTTCAGAATGCAGGAATTTTAAGAATGTTTCTAAAATCAAGACTTCACGGTCTTATTATTTATTTGCTTTAGTGTAATGGAAAGAAGGAAAGAGAAAAAGGGAATTTAGTTTTTAAGAAAATGATAGAGAATGACAGTTGTGTAATATACTGCGAAATTGTGAGGTCTGCATAAGAATAACTCTTTAAAATATTTAACAATTTTTTAAAAATGCAGATTTCTAGGATATAATTCTCGCTTATGCCCTATAGAATATTTTTAGTGTTTCCCAACCTTGGCAACTTTAAGATGGATGGACCTCATTTCCTGGAATTCCCCAGCCAGCCACGGGGATTGAAGTCCACTCCTCTTAAGGCTGCCAAGGTGGAGAATCTCTGGATTATAGTAAATTCTGTAATTCATGTGTTTATTGAATATAAAAAAGTATATAGGTAGTCCTTGTCTGCAACCACAATTGAGCCCAAAATTTCCATTGCTAACGAGATAATAGTTCAGTGAGTTTTGCCCCATTTTATGACCTGTCTTGCCACAGTTGTTAAATGAATCACTGCAGTTGCTAAGTTAGTAACATGGTTGTTAAATGATTCTGGCTTCCCCATTGACTTTGCTTATCAGAGGATTGCAAAAAGTGACATGTAACTCTCACAAATACATTCCAGTTATCAAGGGTCCGAATTATGTTCATGTGACCAAGGGCTCGCTGCAACAGGTGTGTGAAAAACGGCCATAAGTCACTTTTTTCAGGACTGTTGCAACTTCGAACAGTCAATCAATGAACGGCTTGTAAGATGAGGATTACCTATGCTGCCTTGGTATGGCTGTGCTCCTGACTTTTGTGGGTAGCTCCATATTGATCCCTTTAGCCCAGTGTTATCAGTTCTGAGCAGCACAGAATTGGGGGTTGAGCATCACTCGACCCATCCGTTGTCTTATCTTTTTAGTAGAGATTTGTTGTTTTGAACCTGATCTTCTGCAGATGAAGCTTTTGCTCTCTCTCTCTCTCTCTCTCTCTCTCTCTCTCTCTCTCTCTTGCAGTTATTTTATATAGTGCAGAGGAACGTCTTCCCATAGGAGACGGTGGGCTGCTATTTCTGTAGTTTGGCTGAGGATGTCCAGGTTTTTCTTTTGACTTCGTTGCTTGGCTTGTTTGCCTGACCTATCTACCAACTGGTCCTCTTGCAACCTAGTAGCCACAGAGATCCTTTAAGTTAGCATGGAAGTTGATTGGCTTGTTTTTAGTGTGGAGAATACCATGCGGTGAAAACAGTCAAGCTTCTTGCATAGCTGCCATATTGATTCCTCATCCATCTCCCACTGAAGTCATTGGAAAGAAATACGATGCGGCAAAGATATTGGGGCCGCACTATGTGAGATATTCAGCCTCCTATTTTTATTTTCAAGATATTTGTTTTTTTTTAACCCCCATTTGAAAAGAATTCTTTTACTGGTAGAAAAGCAGGAAAGGGGATAAAAGGAAAATCTCGCTCCTTGTTGTATAGTCACATCTACAATTTGCAGAGAATACCAGATGAAAATTGACAGCCAGTTTCATGGATCAGGCCACATTTGCACAAAATGAGCCTTGATTTCTCTGGATTACAGTGGCAGTGTGAATGTGGATTCATGCTCCAGATGTGTTCCCCCACTTACTTTAGATTATTAAATTAAATTGGGGTAGGGTTATAGGTTATAGGTCAGTGATGGCGAACCTTTTAGAAACTGCCCAAAACCCGCTTCGCCCCTACCCCATCCCCACATCTCCTGCCCGCAGGGCCACCCACCACCTCCATGGCCCGCCACAGCAGATCGCCTAGGCGGCCCAGCAGCGTCATGGTGGCCACACCCTCTGTCTGTGCCCCGCAGCATTATCTGTACGTGATGGGGCACGAGGGTGGAGTCTTGTCCCCGCTGCCATGTCCTTGGCTGTGCTACTCTGCACAGGTTGCCCCTGGGGCGACTCTCCTCCGGGGGATTGCTGGTGAGGAGGGGGCCATGCAGGGTGACAGGGCTGGGGCGACAGCGTGCTTGCCCACAGAGAGGGCTGAGTGCCACCTCTGGCACCTGTGCCATAGGTTAATCACCATTGTTATAGGTTACGCATGGTGGCGCAGTGGTTAGAATGCAATATTGCAGGCAAACTCTGCCCACTGCCAGGAGTTTGATCCTGACCGACTCAAGGTTGACTCAGCCTTCCATCCTTCCGAGGTCAATGAACTGAGGACCCAGATTGTTGGAGGCAATATACTGACTTTGTAAACCACTTAGAGAGGTCTGTAAAGCACTACGAAGTGGTATATAAGTTTTAAGTGCTATTGTTATCCAGCTGGAATTATGGATTATGTTGTCAAAACAAGCCCAGATTCATGTGACAACAAAATATCTTGCTTTAAAGTAGATGAAGGTGTTTTTCTGCTTAAAAGAAATGATGCTAGTTCTTTCTTCCTTGTTACCCATAATGTCTTTTGCTCATTACAGGAGCTCAGGCTATTGAAAGGCAGAACTAAGGGCAGCGTTGGACTTTATTTTAGTAGCTGTGTGATCCTTCTTAATCCAAATGCAAGCAGGTGGTAGATGGATTGGATTATGGGTCCCTTTGTCTTGTAGCTGAACCAGTAATTTGAAATATAGCAATTGAAAAAGGCAATTGCCAGTCTGCAGATTGGTTCATCTGTTCAATAGAAAATGATAGATGGAAGAGGCAGTCTCCTAAAATGATGGAGCTGTGTGTTTGCAATATATTATATATTTCTGATGGGGTTTTTAGTCTTGGATTCCTCCACCTGTGTTAAGCTCTTCTGCTTTCTTTTAGAAGTAAATTTTGGAAGGAGTTGCTGTTACATTCTTATCTAAATAGCCAGGAATAAATTATGTGTATCTGTGTATCTTTTGAAATGAGCCATAAAGCGCTGACACATACCTGCTTGGAAAGTGTCCATTTAATAAAGTACAGCCTGTTTTATCTCTGCCTGAGCGGTGAGCTAAGATAGCCGGTGTCTGTTTCTTCTCCGGTTTATGAAAGTCCAGTTGCTTTAATAACAAGAGAGGGCACTTCTGCCTGTGCCTCAGGCTGCTCCCCGGTCGATGAGACAAAATTCTGCCTAAGTTTAGCTTTAAACTGCGGTGTGATCTCATGCCTGTCTGGAAAAAAGGTCTACATCCCCCCCCACAGAGTCTAGTTTTCTGCATGCAGGGAGGGTTGATTGGTTTGTTTCTTCAGAGAAAAGGTCAACTTTTTCGGGGTTCTCTGGCTGCCTCTGGGAGGAATTGTTTCTAGAGGCAACATTTGATGGTCTGGGTCCCCATGACAGGCCAGAGCTCAGAGTGGGACAGGTGGGGTCTCTTCTCAGTGGGTCTCGTATTGCAGGTCGGCCTCGGCTTATGACCAAAACTGAGCACAACGTTTCTGTGGCTAAGCAAGATGGTTGCTAAGCAAATTTTGCCCCATTTTACCACCTTTCTTGCCACAGTTGTTAAGTGAATGACTGCATTTGCTAATAACACAGTTATTAAGTGAATCTGACTTTGTTTATCAGAAGGTTTGTAAAAGGTGA